GGCATATCTGGTGAGTGGGAGGTAAGAAGACTCACATTATTTGTGCATGGTAGAGGCAGTAGATAAGGGTAGTCAGTTTTTTATTTTTCCTGAGAGGGACTCTTGCTGTGTCGCCCAGGCTGGAGTGCAGTGGCGCCATCTCGGCTCACTGCAACCTCCGCCTCCCAGGTTCAAATGATTCTCCTGCCTCAGCCTCCCAAGTAGCTGGGATTACAGGCCTGCACCACCACACCCAGCTAATTTTTTGTATTTTTAGTAGAGACGGGGGTCTTACCCTGTTGGCCAGCCTGACCTCAAACTCCTGACCTCAAGTAATCTGCCTCCCTCAGCCTCCCAAAGTGTTGGAATTACAGGTGTGAGCCACCATGCCCAGCCAAAATTATATATCTTTTTACAAGAGATTGGGTATCGTGTCACATTTTAATATAATTTGTATTCATTCTCGGTGTTAACGTGTTACGTCATATCCTTTATCCACTTTCTGTTCGATTGTTTTATTTTTTGATCTTATAAATATGTAGGAGCTTTTTATTTGTTAGAAAAATGAGATCTTGGTAATATGAGCTAAAATATTGGTCTAGTCATATTAATCGCTTAAGCTACCCACTCCAAGATAGAAATCATTCTCCCATGTTTTGTTACTATTAACCTTTTATTTCTTACATTTCAGTATTTTAGCATCTAGAATTTAGGTTGGTGTAAAATGAGGAAATAACTTTTTTTTTCCACGTGCCTACCTAGTTGTCTAACTATTGGTTTTGAACTATATTTCAAAATCTTTTTTCCTACTGATTTGAAATGTCACCATAATTATTCACCAAGTTTTAAAAGTTTTTTGATTTCTGGACTTCTTGTGATTTGCCTATTTCATAATTATTGTAGCTTTGTAATGTGTTTTGATATTAAGCAGAGCAAATTTTTCTTCATTGCTCTTCTTTTTCAGTATTTCTCTGGCTGTTAATCATCTTTTTTTTTTTTCTTTGATTAACTTTAAAATCAGCCTGTCTAATCACCTCCAGCCCCAAAGCTTATGTTTTTATTAGGACAGCGTTAAATGTAGAGATTAGGAATGACCATCGTTATGATATTGAGTCTTCATATACATTTCTTTCTTTTTATTTCCCCCGTGGTGTGTGTTGTTTTTTTAAATATTTTTCTTTAAGTTTTTTGAATATTTTGTATTGGTCCATTTTGTAGGTTACTGATCCTGGCCTTCTGCTGTGTCCTGTCTGCTATGAATCCATGAATGAATTCTTAATTTCAGATATTTTATATTTTAGTTTTAGAATGTCCACTTAATTTTTTTAAAAATAAATTTTAATTCTTTGTTGAAATTCTCCATCTTTAAAAAAAATGTTTTATCCATCTTTTTATCTTATTTTCTTAGACATATTAATTAATCATGATTACTTTAAAGTCCACTATTGGTAACTTCATATTTGAGTCATTTCAGTCTGTTTCTGGGTTTTGTTTTGTTTTTTTTAAATGTGCATCGTTATTTTTTGATGGGATACTAGACATTGTGAATGAAAAGTCTTGGAGCCTCTGAAACATGTATCTTGTGAAAATTGTTTTGCTTTGGCAGTCTGATGAAGCATCAATGAATACCTTTTATTCTTTCCATGGTTGCTTTTAAGCTTTGTCAGGACCAGTCTGTTTTAGGCCTCCTCCATGTATGCACAGCATAGGAATAGGCTAACAGGAGCAGAATTTATTGTAGATTTTTGGACTCCTTCTATTCTTTTTCCTCTTCTCCAGGATTTTGGTAGCACTGAACTCTGACCACTTTCTCTTTTCAGCAAGACTGCCGCTTTATACTTGAGCTCTGTTGGTCTGTAGCACAGTTTGGAAACTCTCTTTAGGGAAGAGGCTGGGCTGAATGTAGAACCCACTAGTATGTTCCCCCCTTTCAATGATTATCACCCCTCAATGCATTGCTGTTTCTTTACATATTTTATACAGGTTTTAAATTGTTTCTGAAGGTGGGGTGGACTGATACTAAGGGCACCATCATGGTTGAAAGAGAGTTTCACTTTTATTATGCAGATTTTCACTCAGTCTCCTAGATCATAGATGGTATTTCCATTCTTAGTTGTCTCTAGTTTACCCAATCTAGAGATTCCTGTGGCCTTTCTAGATGGGAGAGGAGTCGTTATCTGACTGGGAGAGGTGGAGGAGGCAAACTGAGTGTCTGATGCTTCTTTCACAGGCTTTTAACCAATCCTGTTTGAGTACTAATATTATCCTCACTCTTGGATACCCTAGTACTTCTAATTACTGAGCTAGTTTATGGTGGGAATCGACTTGTTTCTGACTTATTTCCCACTGCTGGCTTAATACAGCTTTTCTCTAGTCTCCTAAGTCAGTTGCTACGTGTCCTTTTGGGTTTGCCAGCTTCCAGAACTGTATTGCTGTGGCCTTCTCTTCTGTTCTTCTCTTTCTGTAATCCCTTTAAAGTCATGTGAGTTAGGTTTGGAGAAGTAGTAGAGGTAAAGATGGATAGTCAATCTAGTGTGCTTAACTGTAGATTGCAGTTCATTTATTTTTACTTTTTAAAGAATTAAGCTAAAGAAATTAGTATCATGACTTCTTTTAATTTTTTGATGGAATGGCTTTCTCCATCATTCTTACTCTAGAGTACAATTCTAAGCAGTGTTACTGTTTCTTATTTTCTGACTTTTAAATTTTCTTCTACCTGAGTCATAGACTAGTAGAGTTGGTAGGGTCCATAAAACAGCATTAAGTTTAAATCTTTTGTGTTTCTAAATAAAGAAACTGAAGTCCACAGAAGGCAAATGGTTAGCTTTTGATTATGTAGCTTGTAATCTTGTCTCTTGATTCTGAATTCATTGCTTTATTATATGACATAACTTTGGAAAGCTCAAATATCAAAAAAGTCCCTGAGTTTTTCCTTTTTGCCTATCTTCAAGATCAGATATGTATGATAGAGATTGAATTGGTATAATTATTAGAGACCTCAAGAACACTGTAGAGTGAGTAAAGTTGGTATTGTGATCTTCATTTGGTATTGGAAACTGAATGCTAGAAAAGGCAAACATTAATTTGAGTTTATTACAATACTGAAGTCAACAGGATTTGTATGTTCCTTCAGTTATAAGTTATGATTTTGTATGTGGAGGCTTGTGGTATAATTTGTCTTCTATTTCATTTGGTTTGAAACATTTTATAGAATTATAATTTAGTTGAGAAGTCTCTCAACTAGGAAAAAGTAGCTCAGTTAAATGTATTGTAAGATCTATTGTTTCATGTTTTCTCTTTTACTTCCTCTAATGTACAACTGACTTTACAAAAAAGGAGAGCTTGTCTGTTTTCCTGAAAGTCATCTACCATAAGTCTTTTGTTGTTCAGGAAAGTGTTTGCGTTTGATGTATTTGATGGCAATTAGAATCATCTTTCTTCACTCACAGGATCAGTAGATTCTCTTCTGCTTTATAGGGTTAGAGCCATCGTGCTTAGTAATGTTGGCAGGAGAATGCAACACTAGGGACTTCTGGAGCTTCCATCTTGTTAGTGTGGTCCCTAGAAAGGACTTGGCAACTAAATTCTTATTAAGGAATGGCCAAATTAACTGATTTTGTTTTCTCTCTCTTGGCAAAAAGTCACAGAAGAAGGATGGTTGTGAAATAATCTCATTATATGGCAATTATTTAATCTATGAAATTTAGATTGCTAAGATGAGTTTATCTTGTGTTTTTTTCCCTAAGTAGCATAGTAATGTAAGAAACATTCATGTTCTGGAGAAATCATTACATTGTGGCTGTTGCCCAGATAGCTGTTATATTGTACCAGTTAACACAACTTGGACTTAAATATATTTGGAACAACTTTTCATCTTTAACTCACTGACGCTAAAATGCTGTAATAATGGTTTATTTCTTGTTTCTTTTAAAATTGATAAAAGTATTCTTGTTTTCTAAGGTAGAAAAAGGCTCTTTCTCACAGAATTTCATGCAGCATAATTATCTCATCATTGTTACCACAGGCTGAGTTCTGGCCTGTAGTTTGCTCTTCCAGGCCCAGAATGTGAAGTTTGTCATCTAAGGAGATTGTATCATTTTTTAGAGGCAAAATAAAGTTAAAAACAAATTTAGCATGAGGTGGATGAGATGAGAACATGGATTTATTTGTGGTAAACTGCCACAGAAATTTAAAAAGTGTTTCCCAACAAGCTTATTTTCTCCTAGAAAGGAATCATCCACTGGAAGCCTGCCTTCTGTGAATGGAAATAAAACAGAGAAAGCTAGGTGAATTAAATGTTTATCAGTTTTAGATTAGCATAGTAAATTCATGGATGTCTACAATAAGGGTGATATTGCCAGTAGGTGGCACACATTATTGCTCTTATGACTCCTCTCTTTCACTTTTTTCAACTTTCACTACCTAGGTTATTGTATTCTGGGTTCTGAAATGACCACTTTTTTGAAATTACTATTGCTAAACTGGTAATTTTCTTGGTATGATAAGGGTTTAAGTATGATACTAAAAGTGGAAATAGAAAAAATTCGTAAACTTGTTTATATCAAAATAAACCTTTATGTTTAAATACAGGCAAACAGGTTATAAGGGAAAAATTATTTATGACAGATAAGGGCTTCATTACATAAGGAGTTTTTACAAATTAAAGACTAACCCAATAGAAAATGAATAAAGAACATGGATGAGTATTTAAAAAGAGAAGAAAGGGCATGGTGTCTCACACCTGTAATCCCAGTGTTTTGGGAGGCTGAGGCAGGCAGATTACTTGAGTTCAGGAGTTCAAGACCAGCCTGGCCAACATGACAAAACCCTGTCTCTACTAAAAATATAAAAATTAGCTGGGCATGGTGGTGAACACCTGTAATCCTAGCCACTTGGGAGGCTGAGGCAGGAGAATCGCTAGAATGTGGGAGGAGGAGGTTGCAGTGAGCCGAGATCGCACCACTGTGCTCCAGCCTGGGTGGCAGAGTGATACTCCATCTCAAAAAAAGAAAGTTCAATAAATGCGGAAGAATTTTTCAAATTCAGTGGTAAGCAAAAGACATTAAAAATGAAACACCATTTTCTCCATTAGACGTAAGGAGTAACAACAATAACAAATAGTGACACAGTGCTCATATGTGCCAAGCACTGTTTTTAGTACATTACTTACGTTAACTAATTCTTCCAACAGTTCCGTAAATGTGTACTATGGTTATTCGCATTTTGCATACGACCAAACTGAGCACATAAAGATAAGTAACTTGGCTAAGGTTACGTAACAAATAAGTGATAAAGCTAAGATTTAAACCTAAGCTTTCTGACTCTAAAGTTTCAGTGTTCTTTACTACCCTTTATTGCTTCTTAAAGATTTTAATAAAAAACAGTATTTTGTTTTTATAAATAACATTACAGTAAACATCTCCCTGAATATAAAAAATAATAATAACCAGTGTCAATAAAGGTTATCTAGTAGCAGGCACTACTGGTTAAATATATATTAATAGACATTTCTGTTGAAGATATTTGTTTGAAAGCCATACTGTCACATGGGCATATTTGTTGAATTCAGAAATTATCCAGAGGAAATGCTTACAATAAGCACATTAAAATATATGTACAAAAACTATCTGAAATTGTTCTATAATAGCAAACATTTTAAATGAATGTTGAATAAGAGGGGATTAGTTAAATAACTTCAGGAAGTAGTGTATTTGGGTTTCATTCTCTTTGGAGAAAATAAAGTAATGCTACTAATTAATTCAGGTGAGAAAAGTTTGCCTTTCTCTCTATACATGTTAAAAATATGCGGTATTTGGCTTTCCAAAGTATTCTTACAAAATTGAAATATCACCTTTTTTTCTCTCTTTTTAGGTATAATTAGGTTCTACTAGTAAAGCATATAAAGTATAACTTTTAGTAAATGTATTAAATATCCCTTTATTAAATGTTAGCAAATCACTAAAGAATTAGAATTTGAATTAAACATTAAAATTGTTATAATGTTATAATGTTTTATCTCTCATGTTGTAAATGCTTTATCTTTTTTGTTAGTTTTCTAAATGTCTAGCGTATCTGTAAAGATGCCTTAGAAAAAGAGTCATGGAGAAGTATATCAGACTACAGAAGATTGGAGAAGGTTCATTTGGAAAAGCCATTCTTGTTAAATCTACAGAAGATGGCAGACAGTATGTTATCAAGGAAATTAACATCTCAAGAGTAAGTATATTTTTAGTTTGGTTTCATGAGTAATAGTTTGATTACAATAGAGCTCATTGTTAGAGATTTTCTTTTTAAAAAAAGAAAAGGTAATCTATAAACCAAACCAAAAGACTGCTTTATTCCCGCTAATATCAGAATACTCTATATATGTTCTTTGAGATTTTTTTCTATGATATGTGCTTATGCTTATGTATTTAGAAATATATACTTGCTGTTCTGTAGCTTAATTTAGTTTAGACATCTTAAAATGTTTCTACTTACAGATTCAACTCATTCTTTTAACTTCTTGCTATGTTTTGTTGATTGAACTGTATTAATACCAGTATGTTTTAACTACTCCTGCATTGATGGAATTTTAGGTGGTTTATTAATAGTTTAATTTGCTATTTTCTTTTTCCTCCCATTTAAGATGTCCAGTAAAGAAAGAGAAGAATCAAGGAGAGAAGTTGCAGTATTGGCAAATATGAAGCACCCAAATATTGTCCAATATAGAGAATCATTTGAAGGTCAGATAAATTTTGTGACAGAGTTGTTAAAAAATCGTAAGACATTAATCTTTTTGTGAATGCATTCTTAGGAAAAAAGATATCATTTTTGCTTAAAAATATATGCATATGAATATCAGACTGATTCAGGGGCAGTACTGATGTATTGTGTCTGTACATTTTTGTTTGTTTTGTTTTGTTTTGTTTTGTTTTGAGGCAGAGTCTTGCTTTGTGGCCCAGGCTGGAATGCGGGCACATGATCTCAGCTTACCGCAACCTCTGCCTCCCACGTTCAAATGATTCTTGTGCCTTAGCTGTATAATTTAATACTGGCTGTTACTGTGATTGCTTTAAAAGAAGCAATGTAGTAAGTGAAGTGCAAGAATTTGGACAGAGCAAGAACAGTAATTTACATATTTTAAAACTGAACTTCCAGCAAGTGCTGCCACTGCTACCACCAAGAAAATGTTCTGATCTTTAGAAAGTATCCTACTCAGGATGCTCCTCTATACTTCACTGTTATAATATTGAGGTATATGGACAGTTTTCTTAAGTTCTTAAAGTATTATGGCTATTATGCTGTTTTGGAACTATGTGCATTATATTTAATAAATGCAGGTATTAAGATAAGACAAAGCTTCTCTAAAGGCAAGTCAAAGTGGCTTATTGAAGTCCTACCCAAATATTTTCATCATTATTATAAATTTCTATAAACTGAATAACAGAAAGATAATCTAGGTTGAAAGCAGAAGATAAGTGAAATGACTCAGGGACATATCACATACCAGTTTCAGAGTCTGAATTAGAGCTAAAGTATGTTCCCAGATGAACTCAGTATCTTTAATAAAAGTATGTTGTACTTTTATAAAAAGGTGATTCAGTGAATATATTATGTCATAAGGTGCTCTATTTTTTTTATGCTGGCAGTGAAATGAAGATTTATATTTCATGTGAAACAGTACAATGTTAACCAATTCTTCCTTTTGAGGACCTTGATTTTTCCTTTATCTTTCTCCTGGCATCCATCTTTTAGTTTCTTTTTTTGTTGTTGTTAACAAAATTTTAATATTTCAAGTTAAAAGGTTTTGAGCAAATGTTCCAGCAGATGTTTTGGATTTATATTGGCGGCTTCACATAGAAATATCTGTATGATTCAAAAGGGGTGACATATATTAAAAATAAGGCTTTATTATTTCTCTGAGTTTTAAAAGAATACATGCTCATGACAAACAAATGATAGCATACTCTAGCCGGGCGCGGTGGCTCACGCCTGTAATCCCAGCACTTTGAGAGGCTGAGGTGGGTGGATCATGAGGTCAAGAGATCGAGACCATCCTGGTCAACATGGTGAAACCCCATCTCTACTAAAAATA